TTGGGGGTGGATTTGGGGGGCATTAAGAGGTGGGGGGCCATTAGATATTGGGGGGTTTTAGGGGTGGATTTGGGGGAGCATTAGGGGTGGGGGGGCATTAGATTTTGGGGCGTTTCAGGAGCCACATCTCAGCAGGGGCTGGGGCAGAGCAGCGCGGGGGTTTTGGGGTGCAGAACGGGGGGACCCCCCCTCAGTCCCAGCCTGCCCCACCCCTCGGGGGTCCCGGGGGGTTCCGGGGGTCCTTGTGGGGGTCCCGGCCCCCCACTCACTGGTGCCCTCCTCGGTGACCATGCCCAGCCCCTCGGCCTTGTTCTGTCGCTCGAAGGCGTTCAGGTCCAGGACGCTGCGGGGGGACCCCAAAACCGCTCAGGGGGACCCCAAAACCGGGGCTCAGGGGGACCCCAAACCGGGGCTCAGGGGACCCCAAAACCGCTCAGGGGAACCCCACAACCAGGGCCCAGGGGGCCCCCAAAACCGCTCAGGGGGACCCCAAACCAGGGCTCAGGGGGACCCCAAAACCGCTCAGGGGGACCCCAAAACCGCTCAGGGGAACTCTAAAACCAGGGATCAGGGGGACCCCAAAAACGGGGCTCAGGGGGACCCCAAACCGTGGGGGGCATTAAGAGGTGGGGGGCCATTAGATATTGGGGGGTTTTAGGGGTGGATTTGGGGGAGCATTAGGGGTGGGGGGGCATTAGATTTTGGGGCGTTTCAGGAGCCACATCTCAGCAGGGGCTGGGGCAGAGCAGCGCGGGGGTTTTTGGGGTGCAGAACGGGGGGATCCCCCCTCAGTCCCAGCCTGCCCCGCCCCTCGGGGGTCCCGGGGGTCCCTGGGGTCCCTCGGGGGGTCCCTCTGGGGGTCCCTCGGGGGGTCCCGGCCCCCCACTCACTGGTGCCCTCCTCGGTGACCATGCCCAGCCCCTCGGCCTTGTTCTGCCGCTCGAAGGCGTTCAGGTCCAGGACGCTGCGGGGGGACCCCAAAACCGCTCAGGGGGACCCCAAAACCGGGGCTTGGAGACCCCAAAACCGCTCAGGGGGACCCCAAACCGGGGCTCAGGGGACCCCAAAACCGCTCAGGGGAACCCCAAAACCAGGGCTCAGGGGGACCCCAAAACCCTGGCTCAAGGGGACCCCAAAACCGGGGCTCAGGGGGACCCCAAAACCAGGGCTGAGGGGGACCCCAAAACCGGGGCTCAGGGGGACCCCAAAACCAAGGTTCTGGGTCCCCACTTCCCCCATGGGTCCCCAATTCCCCCAGGAGTCCCCAGTTCCCCCGGGGTCCCAATTTCCCCAGGTGACCCCAAGTTCCCCGAAGATCCCAAATTTCTACGGGGGTCCCCAATTTCCCCGGTGTCCCCAATTCCCATGGGTGTCCCCAATTCCCATGGGGATCCCCAATTCCCACGGAGGCCCCCATTTCCCCCGGGGACCCCAGCTGCCCCCGAGGTCCCCAATTCCCCAGGGGTCCCCCCAGTTCCCCAGGGTCCCCAATTCCTACAGAGGCCCCCATTTTCCCCGGTGTTCCCAGTTACCTCGGGGGTCCCCCCAGTTCCCCCAGGTCCCCGATTCCCCTGGGGTCCCCGATTCCTCTGGGTGGCCCCAATTCCCCTGGGGTCCCCAATTTCCCTGGGAGTACCCCAGTTCCCCCAGTGTCCCCAGTTGCTCCGAGGGTCCCCAGTTCCCCCGGGGTCCCCAATTTCCCGGGGCCCCCAATTTCCCTGGGGGTCCCCGATTCCCCCGGGGGTCCCCGATTCCCCTGGGGGTCCCCAGTTTCCCCAGTTCCCCAGGGGCCCCCCCGATTCCCCGGCGGTCCCCAATTTCCCTGGGGGTCCCCAATTTCTACGGGGGTCCCCAATTCCCCCGGGGTCCCCCCAATTCCCCCGGGGGTCCCTGATTCCCTCGGGGTCCCCAGTTCCCATAGAGGCTCCCAATTTCCCCGGGTCCCCAATTCCCACGGAGGCCCCCAGTAGGGGACACGGGGGGGCACTGGGGACACAGGGGGCACTGGGGACACGGGGGGGCACTGGGGACACGGAGGGGCAGTTGGGGACACGGAGGGACAGTTGGGGACACTGGGGACACTCAGGGGACATTCAGGGGACATTGGGGACATGGGGACACGGGGACAGGGTGGCACACCTGCTGCACGTCGGCGTTGCCCCCATTGAGGATGGAGATTCCCAACTTGAGCGTGGAGGAGACCATGGCCCCCCGCTCGCCTGGGGGGACACGGGGACACCGGGGTCACCCGGGGTCACCCAGGGGTCACCAAAGGGTCACAGCAGCCGTCACACCAAAGCGGGTCCCCAATTCCCACGGAGGCCCCCAGTTCCCCAGGTCTCCCCAATTCCCCCGGTGTCCCCAACTCCCCCGGGGGTCCCCACTTCCCAGGGGTCCCCCCAATTCCCCGGGGGTCCCCCCGTGCCCCGCCCCTCACCTGCAGGTTTGCATCAGCGCCTGCACGCTCTGGAAGAACCCGACCTCGCGCTTGGACTTGAGGTACTCCAGCATCTTCTGTGGGGACACAGGGGACACACGGGGACATTGGGGACATTGGGGACATGGGGGACACACGGGACAGGAGGGGAGACACTGGGGACAGGAGAGGACACTGGGGACACGTAGGGGACATGAGGGGACAGTTGGGGACACCCAGGAACACTGAGGACACAGGGGACACTGGGGACATTGGGGACACACAGGGGACAGCTGGGGACATTGGGGACACACAGGGGGGACACGGAGGGACACATGGGGGACAGGAGGGGACCGTTGGGGACATTTGGGACAGTTGAGGACACTGGGAACAGGGTGGGACACTGGGGACATTGGGGACACAGGGACAGTTGGGGACATGGGACAGTTGTGGACATGGGGGACACTGGGGGACACATTGGGGACACTGGGGACACTCAGGGGACACTCAGGGGACATTGGGGACATGGGGACACGGGGACAGGGTGGCGCACCTGCTGCACGTCGGCGTTGCCCCCGTTGAGGATGGAGATTCCCAACTTGAGCGTGGAGGAGACCATGGCCCCCCGCTCGCCTGGGGGGACACGGGGACACCGGGGTCACCAGGGGTCACCAAAGGGTCACTCGGGGTCACTGAGGGGTCACTGAGGGGTCACTCAGGGGTCACTCAGAGTCACTCAGAGTCACTCAGGGGTCACACAGGGGTCACTCAGGGGTCAGGGGTCACTCACTCCAGGCGGAACTGCAGCCGGTATCTGTTGGGGTCCGGGGGTCCGGGGCTGTCCGGGACACGGGGGACAGTGGGGACTTGAGGTACTCCAGCATCTTCTGTGGGGACACAGGGGACACACGGGGACATTGGGGACACAGGGGACACACGGGGACATTGGGGACATTGGGGACACACGGGGACATTGGGGACATGGGGGACAGTGGGGACTTGAGGTACTCCAGCATCTTCTGTGGGGACACAGGGGACACACGGGGACATTGGGGACACTGGGGACACTGGGGACACTGGGGACAGGTGGGGACACACTGGGGACAGGAGAGGACACTGGGGACACGTAGGGGACATGAGGGGACAGTTGGGGACACCCAGGAACACTGAGGACACAGGGGACACTGGGGACATTGGGGACACACAGGGGACAGCTGGGGACATTGGGGACACACAGGGGGGACACGGAGGGACACATGGGGGACAGGAGGGGACCGTTGGGGACATTTGGGACAGTTGAGGACACTGGGAACAGGGTGGGACACTGGGGACATTGGGGACACAGGGACAGTTGGGGACATGGGACAGTTGTGGACATGGGGGACACTGGGGGACACATTGGGGACACTGGGGACACTCAGGGGACACTCAGGGGACATTGGGGACATGGGGACACGGGGACAGGGTGGCACACCTGCTGCACGTCGGCGTTGCCCCCATTGAGGATGGAGATTCCCAACTTGAGCGTGGAGGAGACCATGGCCCCCCGCTCGCCTGGGGGGACACGGGGACACCGGGGTCACCAGGGGTCACCAAAGGGTCACTCGGGGTCACTGAGGGGTCACTGAGGGGTCACACCAGGGTTTACCCCTGAGTCACTGAGGGGTCACCAAAGGGTCACACAGGGGTCACCAAAACATCACTCAGTGGTCACTCATGGTCACTCAGGAAAGGGTCACAGCAGCCGTCACACCAAAGGGTCACCATGGGGTCACCGAAACGTCACTCAGTGGTCACTCAGGGTCACCCAGGGGCCACCCGGGGTCACACAGGGGTGACACGGGGTCACACAGGGTCACACCAAGGGGTCACCCCAGAGTCACTGAGGGGTCACCAAAGGGTCATCCAGGGGTCACCAAAAGGTCACTCACTGGTCACTCAGCGGTCACTCAGGGTCACTCAGTGGTCACTCATGGCTCTCTCAGTGGTCACTGAGCAGTCACTCATTAGTCACTCAGTGGTCACTCAAAATCACTCAGTGTCACTCATGGTCACTCATTGGTCACTCAGGGTCACTCAGGGTCAGTGGTCACTCAGTATCAGGATCACTCAGGTCACTCAGTGGTCACTCGGGTCACTCAGGGTCAGTGGTCACTCAGTGGTCACTCAAAATCACTCAGTGTCACTCATGGTCACTCATTGGTCACTCAGCAGTCACTCAGTGGTCACTCAGTGTCACTCAAAATCACTCAGTGGTCACTCAGTGGTCACTCAGCAGTCACTCATGGTCACTCATGGTCACTCAGGATCATTCAGGGTCATTCAGTGGTCACTCAGTGGTCACTCGGGTCACTCATGGTCACTCAGGTCACTCATGGTCACTCAGTGTCACTCAGTATCACTCAGGGTCACTCACTGGTCACTCAGGGTCACTCATTGGTCACTCAGGGTCACTCAGTGGTCAGTGGTCACTCATTGGTCACTCAGGATCACTCAGTGGTCACTCAGGGTCACTCAGGGTCAGTGGTCACTCAGGGTCAGTGGTCACTCACCCTTGCAGGCGCTGATCATCTGCAGCACCATCTCGGCCGCGCCGCGCGTGTGCAGCCGCGCCTGCTGCGACAGCAGCTTCTGCTTCTCCATCTCCTTCTCCTGGGGACATCGAGGGGACATTGAGGGGACATTGGGGACACCAGGGGGTCACCGGGGACATGGGGACATCGGGGACACCAGGGGGTCAGGGGGTCACCGGGGACATGGGGACAGCAGGGACAGCAGGGACATGGGGGGACAGTAGCTTCTGCTTCTCCATCTCCTTCTCCTGGGGACATCGTGGGGACACTGGGGACATTGGGGACACAACATTGGGGGCACCAGGGGGTCAGGGGGTCACCGGGGACATGGGGTCACTGGGGACATTGGGGACACCGGGGACATTGGGGACAGCAGGGACAGCAGGGACATGGGGGCACAGCAGCTTCTGCTTCTCCATCTCCTCCTGGGGACATCGAGGGGACATTGGGGACATTGGGGACATCAGGGACATTGGGGACATCGGGGACACCAGGGGGTCAGGGGGTCACCGGGGACATTGGGGACAGCAGGGACATGGGGGGACACCAGGGACATGGGGGGACAGCAGCTTCTGCTTCTCCATCTCCTTCTCCTGGGGACATCGAGGGGACATTGAGGGGACATTGGGGACACCAGGGGGTCACCGGGGACATGGGGACATCGGGGACACCAGGGGGTCAGGGGGTCACAGGGATTGGGGTATCACAGGGGACAGGGGGTCACAGCAGCTTCTGCTTCTCCATCTCCTTCTCCTGGGGACATCGTGGGGACACTGGGGACATTGGGGACACCGGGGTCACTGGGATCACAGGGGTCATAGGGGGGTGACGGGGGTCAGGGGGTTTCGGGGTCCCCTCCCCACCTCAAACGAATCCTCGGCTTCTTCCTCTTCCTTCTCCTCTTCCTCCTTCTCCTCCTCCTCCCCCTCCTCTATGTGGCAGCTCTGGGGGAATTGGGGGGGGGCCCCCGAATTAGGAACCCCCAAAAAACACCCTGGGGGGCCCCAAACCCCC